GGCCGCGCGCGCCTCGGGATGCGATCTTTAGCTGCGGTTTCTCCGGACATCAAGTGATGAGGTGCGCCAGAGCCTGGATCTTTCTCAGGACGGAGCCACCATGGGCTGTCAGGTGGGTTGTTCATTGCACCAGGGCACCCGGCTGAAGGGGAGGTGGGGACTGACTGCGTGCCGTGCCCTGGCCACTGAGAGGGTCGCATTTCAGGAAGGGCCCTGGCCCAAGGTAATGATGCCTCCCCGCCGAGTCATGAGTCACGGGGAGCTCCCTGTGCGGCCCCCTGAGCTGGCCGTGGGAGCTCCTCACCCCATCACGTCCACCACACCCCGCTCCCCCCCCCCCCCGCACCACCTACGGATAGGAAGGAAGGCCCGGCGGGGATGCTCGGGATGAGAGCGGGGGGCCCAGGCGGCACTGGGGGTGGCAGCCGCGAGCGGGGGCACGACAGGTGTTTCCCGCCCAACACGGTCTCTAAGTATAACCGTCTCGACTGTTCCCTCCGCCCGCACCGAGCGCCACATCAGATGGTGCTTTACTTCAGCACAAAATATAATTACAGAACTCGTGAGGTGAACGGCGGTCTATTATGCACACCTCCGTTTTTAGCCCTTCTGTTGCTCTTTTTTTTCGTTTCTGAAGGAAGGTCCCAGCTCGCTTCCGTCGCCGGTTCCCTCCTGTTTGGAGAGCTCTCCTAATTTTTGTTGTTGCCGTTAACACGGAACGATTCGTGAGACTGCACGTCGTCCTTCCACGGGTCCCTGTTGGGGTCCCCACTCGGTCCGGTGGGCTTCTCCTCTCCTGGTCCTTTGGCCACAGAGTGGGCTTTCCTGGCACCTGCCCCTTCCGGGCCCCGCGGGAGACACCAGAGCATCCACGGAGCTCCCGGGGCCGCCCCCGCTCACACTCAGCTGTGTCCTTTGTTCTTTTCATCGTCCGTGAAGTCGTTTCCGGAATTCTAGCTGCATTTAGAGAAAGGGGGCAGTGTCGTCTTGTTCCAGAACTAGAAGTCGGCAGCTGACGTTTTTCAAACCTGGATTATTCATTTGCATAATGCGTCTACTACCGTGCGTGTCCATTTAACGAGTTGGGGTTTTTTTCCCCCTTGGGGAGAGGCAACTTTCAAAAAGAGTGGATTTCTCCGAATGACTTCCCGAGCTGACCCTTAGGCTCAAGGCCAGAGGGCAGGTTGGCGTGGCGCCTGGCGTCCCCGGCCGTGCCCCCCTCCACCACCCCCGCCCCGCGGACGCGGGGCTCTCCTTCTGGAAGCTGGCCCTCCCCTATTTTCCGACGCTCTGATGACACAGAGCGGAAAAGCTTCTCATCTCAAGCAAAAGAGGCATCAAGCGTGTAGGTGCACTGGGAGCTGTCTCACTTTTAACTTTTTCCTTCTCTCATCGGCAGTCTTTGACTTTTCCAGGAACAGCCTGTGTGTCGCGAGGTCAGACTTCAGTGACTTTCATTAGTTGGGAAGGCAGGGAACTAAATTGACTGGACTCTACCCGGTGAGAGATTCTGGGCCCGTCCAGCCAGGCGGGGTGTGTCAGAAGGGGATTCGCTGTGCTGACCGAGGGAGGAGCGTCCTTGAGTTAACTCGGAAAGGGTCACTCAGCAGGACCCAGAGAAAGGCCCACGGGTCAGCAGGCTTTGGAGAGGAACAGAGGCACACGGCAGGGGAGGAGGTGGAAGGGTCGACCTTCACGGCCGCAGGGATGGTGAGAGCCGGAGCTGAGCCGGGGGCTGGTTGAGCAGGCATCCGCATGGTTTCCCTGGCAACAGACGCCCCCCGCTCCCCACCCCCCACCCCCCATACTGAGAGTCTTAGGATTTGATAAACTCCAAGCAGACGAAGTGTGTGGTAACAGGAGAAGAGCATGCTGGTTCTAAGCCCCGCAGAGAAGGGCTGGGAAGCAGCCCTACAGGGAGGCGATGACGCGGGAGCCTCGGGGGTAAGGGGACGGGGAGCTGTTGGCCCAGCTGGTGCACACCTGTCATGTTGTCTGGTGCCGGGCACGTGGGTGCAGGTGTCAGACTGAGACTACAGGAAGCCATCCTGGTTCCCTTGTCTCCTGCTTCTGGCGCGGAAGCGAGCGCGGGGGACAGGCTGGGAGTCTGTCTCCTCATTTTGTGTGTGTGCCCCCTTGAGCTGCAGATTCCCCCCGGCAAGGTGGACCTGCCTCCTCATTATGGGTGTGGAATTAGCCCCGGCGGGTCACCTGCACACGACCACCCAGCCAGCCAGCAGCGGGGGCAGGGCCCTTCCAGACCCGTGGGCCTGTCGGGAAGACAGAAATAACACGCCCAAACTCTCCTCTGTGTTCCGTTCTGTAGGGGCAGCCCGTTGGTCTCTCTCTCTCTCTCTCTCTCTCTCTCTCTCTTCTTTTTTAAGTTTTTATTTATTGTTTTCAGGGCAGGGGAGGGGCAGAGAGAGGGAGACACAGAATCCAAAGAAGGTTCCAGTGTCTGAGCTGTCAGCACAGAGTTCGCCGCGGGGCCCGAACCCACGAACTGTGAGATCGTGACCTGAGCCGAAGTGGGATGATCAACCAACTGAGCCCCCCCTGGAGCCCTGGTCTTCCTTTTGAGCCTGTGGGTTCAACATGCAGAGAAGTCCGGGCTGGCGATTTACAGGGTCTCAGGCTGCTGGATTGGAAGTGAGGGGGAGGGGGAGGCAGGTCCCGACAGGTGGAAGGCAGAGGATTAGAAACATGGCGAGAATGTGTGCACGTTAACTTGTAAATTACCGCGGCCTCAAAGGGTGCGTGCAGCGCGCTCTCCATACTGTGACAGAGGACAATTTGTTCCTTGATAGGTCTCAGAAAGATCAGCATCCGCGGAGATAGAGGACAGAGTAGACGAGCCCATGATTTTACACCTGAAACATCCACCGGCCCGCATTGTATGGCTTTTTTTGGATACATGAAAGGAGGGTCCATTTTCTGCTGAAAATATGATGAGAACCTACAGCAGAAAGTTCCCAGGAAGCTATCAAGAACGTCCAGTTCGTGTGAGAATGTGGACTTGTCCTTATGGACACAACCGTCCCTACAGCGTGCTGGGAGTGCAGCACTCGGGGTGACTTTTGTGGGGAGTCCTTCCTTGCCCTTCTATCACCATTCCTCCCCATCCGTGTGGTTTGTGCGGCACTGGCCCTGATGGGCAGATTGCCCGCCCTCTGGCCACAGTGATTGGCTGGGAGTCTGGCCATCATTCATACCAGCCCAATCATCATCTTCTCTGGAAGGTGAGCTAGAAAACCCCTCTCTCTTTCTGGAGGAAGATGGTTGAAAGGACCCCTTGAGGTGGGAGTCAAAGGGGGGCCATCTTGCTTCCACGTGGAGAAAGCCTGCCCCAGAATAAGGCCAAGAGCAACAGAGAGAGAGAGAGAGAGAGAGAGAATGGTGATACCATTTGAACACCGGGATCGAGCCTCACCTGATGCTAAGGACTTCCCAGTCACACGAGCCAACACATTCCTCTATTTTTAAAAAGCCTTATTTGAATTGGGTTCAACTGAGCAAGTCCTGATGAATGTCGTCAGTGTAGAACACAACCGTTGTGCCAGAGGGGTGGGGTTCTCAGCTGGTTGTTCTTAAAGCGATTCCGCACAATCACCCTTTCACAAAGGCCCTATGCTGCTCTCAATAGCAGTGTGGCTGACTGGCCGGCGTTGTGATGGCTCCCGTCACTGACGGCACCGGGGCCACTGCCTGCATAGGGGGTGCTGTGGGCTGAACTGTGTCCCCAAAATTCCTAGTGAAAGCCCGAATCCTGCCCGTGATGGGATCAGGAGGCGATTAGGTCTCGAGTGCGGGTCCCCATTAGGATTAGTGCCCTAACAACAAGAGCCTGGAGGGCCTGCCTCTTTCTCCCTCCGACTGTGAGCACGCAGAGGGGAAGGCAGCCGTCCACAAGCCAGGAAGAGGGCTCCCACCCGAGGCTCCCTCCCAGGTCGCCAGCCTCCAGAACCGTGGGGGAAATGGTGGGGTGTGGAGGCCACCCCTCTGTGCTGAGGTGGCCCGAGCCGGCGCCCATGGGGGCTTAGCGGGGTCCCCACAGTGGGAACTGGCCTCACAGACCCTCAACGCACACAACTCTTCACTAGGGAGGCACAGCCCCCGCCCTGCAGAGGGAGGCTCCCCGGGAGGAAATGCTAACTGTGCGTCATGGGGTGAGCTGCTACTCCTTCGGCCTTTCCCCCGACCGCCGCCTCTTACCCAGTCTGCCTCGTGTCTTCGTTCTTGAGGAGAGAGGGGTCAGAGCAGGAGCTGGTGCCATGGGGGGCAGAGGAGCAGCCCGACCCTGCAGAGGGAGGAGGCGTTGGGATCCCAGCGTCCGCGACTCCCACTGACTGATGTCCCCGTAGGAGAGGCAGAGCAGCCGTGCAGGAATGTTCTTCCTCCTCCGCCTTCCGGAACCTCTGCCTTCGCCCCACAGCACCACGTCCACCGCGTCCCTGTGGCCACTGAGGTGGGTACAGACAGTTGGTCGGCCTTCCTCCTACGTCTCCGTGAAGACGTCTCCCTGTTAGCAACACGCAAACTGTCCACTGCGTTTGCTGGGTGTCGAGCACATGGTGGCAAGCTTTCTCTGCGAAGGGCCAGGTAGGAGGTATTGTAGGTGTCGCGGGCCACACGGCCACTCGCTCTGCCCGCCGTGGGTAAGCAGAGCAGGCAACACGTCAGCAGGTGGGCATGGCCAAGTTCCAGTAAAACTTTATGGTCAGGGGGCGTCCGGGGGGCTCAGTCGGTTAAGCGTCCGACTTCGGCTCAGGTCATGATCTCATGGCTCATGGGTTCGAGCCCTGTGTTGGGCTCTGTGCTGATGGCTCAGAGCCTGGAGCCTGCTTCGGTTCTGTGTCTCCCTCTCTCTCTGCCCCTCCCCTGCTCACTCTCTCTCTCTCTCTCTCTCTCTCTCTCAAAAATAAACATTAAAAAATTTTAAAAATTTAAAGAAATAGGTCCCTGAAGTCTTCAAATATTTTAGACACAGGATACAGAGTAACTGCAATTAACACGTTTAAATAAAACACAAGGAAGTTTGAAAGCAGAGTAATGAACGAGGAGGTGTAGAATGACCAGAGCTGGTTGACCTGCTGGCACGGAGAGCACCTGCCCATCTCTGAGCGTCAGGGAGCGTCAGAGGCCGGAGGTCACGCACCCGCCCCACGATCCTCGGCCGCGTTAAGCCAGGTGTCCTCGGCTGTAAAATGGGGAGCTGGCACTCTTCTCCTCTTACACGTGGAAAAGCCCCAAATTACAAGGGGAGCACACGGCGGGTCAGCGTCACACGTCCCTGGCTCCTTCCTTTGCAAAGCACGAGTTTCTTATGTTCGATGTGCGTCCTGAGATGACGTCTGAGTGGAACAGGGGACCGAGTGCACGGTGGGGGGGTGGGGGGTGGGTGGAGCACAGACCGGGTGAGACAGGAGGTGGCTGACCTCAGGGTGTCAGCATCACCAGGCACACGTCACCGGCCCCCCAGGAGGAGCAGAGGGGTCCTGTGACAGAGGCTCTCAGGCAGACGGGGGTGGCTGGTCACCCGAAGGGCCAAAGCCTTCTGTTCTCCAAACCTTCCTTATGTGGCCAAGTGCTGAGGGAGAAGCAGGCGTGGTCCTGCTGTGGGCTGAATGCTGTGTCCGCCCAAACCCACTCCCGGTGGGATGGTGTCTGGAGGGGGCTCTGGGGGTGATCAGGGTAAGACGAGGTCACGAGTCTGGGGCCCATGATGGGATAGATGCCCTCAGGAGCAGAGACATGAGAGCCTGCTCTCCCCCCTCCACCATGTGAGGACATGCGCGAGGGCTCCATCTGCCAGCAGGAGAGCCCTCACCAGGTCCCCCACGCTGGCCTCCACAGCCGTGAGTGCCTGTGGCCAAGCTGACCGAGAGGTCTGGAAGTGGCTGCAAAGGAGGGGGCTCCCGTGGGGCCCCCGGAGACCCAGGACTCACCCCTGCGGGCCCTCCCTCAGCCGCTCGGGCTTCCCAGACCAGTGAGGCCGCCTCTCTGGGGCTCCACCGGCCCGGCCTAGGGGGGCTTGCCTGGCGGTTGAGCGCTGTACCTGGAGCAGCTGGTGGGGAGGTAGAGGCTGAGATTCAGCGTGGCCATTCTGGGTGGCGAGGGCCGGGCTGCCAGGACTGACTTCTGGAATCTTCCAGCTGGACTGGGCCACCTGCTGCATGAGGTTCTCGGTCCCTGTTTTAGCCAAGGACAGCTGCCTTGGTGCCATCATGCCATCAGGAAGGTCCTCCTTCCATACGCGGAGCTCAAAAGCTAAAGAAAAAGGAACCAAGAAACTTGGACCACTTTAAGGGATGGTCACTTACGACAATAAAACTTACCCCCACAAGTGAACCGTTCAATCAGAGTTGGCTTGATGGAAGGTTCTGGATTCCGATCAGGATTCTGATGAAATGTTACAATCTGCCAGAATATGATTTTGCAGACACTGAAAAGGAAACTTCAAAAATATTTTGATTTGCTTCATTTGGGGCTTTCTAAATATTTAATGTTTAAAATCTTTCAGATTATTGATTCAAAATGATGTTTATTTCCTACAACTTATGTTTGGTTTATATTTGGCATTTATAAACACTCAACAAAACCAGTCTTATGTGGCATTTGGTAATGTTGGTAATTGCTATCACTGTTTTTTTTTTTTGTTTTGTTTTGTTTTGTTTTTTCCTTCCTAGAATTCTGGGGTTTAAGTCACAGGAGGCTGGTGAAAATGAAGGCCAGTGTGATCCAGGGGACACAAAAGCTCGGGGGCCACCCTTCTCCCTCACACGGGGACGGCCTCTGACAGTCTCTGCCGAATTCATTGTGAGGATAGGAGGGAAATGGCCCTAAATTAAATCTCAATATTCCAGCCAGCCCCACTGCTCAGGCTAACAGCATCTCAAAGTGCAGATAACTCGCTGATGCTCACGGGTCCCCCTTAGCAACTGGGTTGCCATGGAAACACATTGTGACTCGCTGAGAGGGAGCGGGCAGAAGCTGGGGGAGTTTGCCGGCATTTCTCATTGAAATAATTGCAGCTGTTCTCACTGTGTTTAAGAAATGAGTGCACCATGACCCCTTCATTTCCCTTTGCAGAGCCTGTTTGTGACAAGTCTTGCGTCCAAAGAGTTCCGCTTGAGATTATAATCTTACTGATATTGTCTATTTTAAAGGCTATGTTTGGGAAGCCCTCGGCGGTCCATTATTTGCTTCGGGACACAGAATTCTACGTGCATTTAGAGGCTTGTCCAGACATTAAACTCCTGTGGAGGAGATCCCATGATCCTGCTCATACATGTGAGAGGCAGAAAGGACGTGGGCACAACCCGTGTTCATCACAGGGCCGCTACAGATTTGACATGATCTTGCGCTAACTGATTGTGTGCCCTGCATGCTTTTGTCCGACAGTATTTATAATGAATTATCATTTTGGGGGTTGGATCGTATCGGTTCTGTAATAAGTACCGAGCCTTCCACATGTCTGATCTTTTGGGAAGTTTCTAGGGCTGCTAAGAGAGATTTTATTTCCATTTAGGACACATTATGTGTTTCTCTGAAGCAGAACTAGGCAATTGTTCTTAAAGAATCTTTGTATTGGGGTCCTGACTTTTATTTTAAAAAGTAGCCTTTTATTCTGGTGAAAAATACACATGTGTTCCGGATAGAACTGTTAGAAATTATGGAAAAGCATGAAGACAAGTATAAAGATTCCCCAGAAATCTCGCCTCTGAGAGATACTCATCATCGAGCTTGGCATCCTTCCTTGAAGCCTTTATTTTTAGGCATTGGGGTTGTTTTTCAGTTTAGTGATCGGGGTCAGGACAGCATTTAGGAGACGTGTATTCAACTACAAAGCAAAAAAAAAAAAAAAAAAAAAAGCCAAGTTCTTCCGCTAAGAAGAGAAACCAAAGCATAAACCATGCAGGTTATCTGACACACACAGAGGTTAATTCTTAACTGGAGGGAGATGGTACTCCGTGGAGAAATTAATTAAAATGTTCACTATGGAAACACTATTTTAAAATTGATGCTGGCTGTCATATTAACTTCAGAAGGTGATTTTCCAGGGGCCCTGCGCCTGGGTCGGCATTGAACCTGGAGCCCTGACACATCTCTGTGCTTGTTGATTGAGTTTTGTAATTTTCATCTATTTTGATGTAAAAATGTCCAGATTTTTCTAAGGCATAGGATCTTAGAACCATCTTAGAACTCATTAAGACGGTAACGAGCCAAACATCTAACAACATAACTCCTCTAATAACAGCGTCATATACACACCGTGCAGAAAATACGACTGGGTCTAAATCCTCCCACATCCAGGGATCCTGGGTGTGGGGTTTTTGTTCCTCGCATTAACCATAGCATGGCTAATTTGCCGAGGGTTCCGAGAGCAGGGACACTGGAGGCCGAGGGTACCATGTCCACTGGCTTCTGGGAGCTTCTATGGGTTCTGTCATCAGAATACAGACCTCAGAACACAAAACACGGGGACCCCAATCTAAAAACCGAGGCCTAGGATGGAGCCCTGCAGATCGGATAGTGATAGAACCGTCTCTAGATGGGTTCCTTCTTCTTTGAAGAAACTTTGGAAGCTGGTTGCATTACTGTGGACGTTTTATTGAAGAAAGTCACGTAAACATGGCTCCATAGGCTGCAAACAAATGCTTCAGGCAATTCATTCTTACCCCATCCTACCAGCGACAGGACAAGGGAGGAACTAAAATACGTATCTGTTTATTGTGGTAAAGTATACATAACACAGAATTGGTCATTTTCACCATTTTTAAGTGTACCATAGGGACGCCTGGGTGGCTCAGTTGGTTAAGCGTCCGACTTTGGGTCAGGTCATGATCTTGTAGCCCGTGAGTTCGAGTCCTGCATTGGGCTCTGTGCTGATGGCTCAGAGCCTGGAGCCTGCTTTGGATTCTGTGTCTCCCTCTCTCTCTGCCCCTCCTCTACTTGCGCTCTGTCTCTTTCAAAAATAAACACTAATTTTTTTAAGTGTACAATGAAATGGCAGTAAGTATACCCATGATGTGTATCCATCAGACCATCCATTTCCAGAACGCTTTTATCATCCCAAACATAACCCCCAACCCCTTAAACCTAAGTCCTCACTCCCCTCCCACAGCCCCTGGCATCCAGCATCCTGGCCTCTGTCTCTATGAATTGGATGACTCGGGGGCCCTCATGTAGCTGGAATGTTAGAATGCTTATCCTTTTGTGTCTGGCTTCTTTCGCTGAGCACAACGTCCTTAAGGTTCATCCGCGTTGTAGCAGGGGGCAGAATTTCCTCCCTTTCTGAGGCAGCATAACGTTCCACTGTGTGGACATGCCTCAGCTTGCTTACGTGCCTCCGTGATACACACGTGGGGGGCTTCTGCCCTCTGGCTGCTGTGCACACCGACATGCAAATACCTGTTGGGGGTCCCTGCTTCCAGTTCTTTGGGGGTACAAACCCAGAAGCGGAATCGTGAGATTATCATAGCAAATTCTGAGTCAACTCATGGGACCAGCTGTCACATCTGCTGGGTACTGTGCTCCCTGGGGGGGGGGGGGGGGGCGAGGGGTTGACAGTTGCTGGTCTGAGGAAGCTTGTGGCCTCCCATCCCCCCATCGGCCACCTTCTCTAAACACAGGATGCTTTGTTGGTTTGATGAAGTCCAGGAGGAAAGCCAAATACGACCAGTTTGGGATTCTGACGTGTTCACACAAAAACAATCCAGCTTTTTAAGCAAATTCCTAAGAGCAACTTTTTAGTAGGTCATGGTAGATAGATGATGGGCACGGGTTTCTATTAATTGTGGAGCGAATTACTTGTCTCTGATTTATCTCTTTGTGAATATGGCTCTACGTTTGTGGCCTCCAGCACCCCTCCAGATGGGACTCGGTATCACTGCCCTTGACTGACCTCCGATGTGCAGAGTCCCCTGAGACTTTCCGTCGCAAAACTTAATGTCATGGGCATGACTCCTCGGAGGACACTCAATGTATGGTATGCCCCATTTTAACACCTGGCAATAATTCTCTTTTGCGAAAATTGCAGATCCTTTCTTTTGCTAGATAGCCACTGTTCGGCGGTTATGAATAAAGATGCCGTGAACATTCGTAGATGTATAGTTTCATTTCTCTCTGGGGAAGATTCCGAGGAGGTGGCCTGCTGGGTGGGCGCGTAAACGATGTGTAACCTCTGTAAGAAACCGCCCAGCGGCGGCCGCACCTGCTTCTGCTCTTGCCTGGTGGAATTTCTATAGGAGTGGGCTGCGTGCCCTCCTGCCTTAGCAAATGGCACTGCCCTGTCCTGACGATGGATGGGCATTGGAATGCCTGCCCCAGGAGCGGCCCACAGATGAGCCAACACGGAGCCTGGCAGAACCCCTTGGTTGTCAGCGCCCCGAGGCCAGCCATCCGCTTTGGCCGACGCTCACCGTGCGGACCGACAGTCACAGGAAATTTCATCCCGTAGGACATTCACTTCAGTAACTGGAGACCTATTTTCAGCCAGGTCCTCTCAGCAGCACCACAAAACTCAGAGGCTTAAGGGAGAAGTCATTTTTTCCTGCTGGGCTTTCTGACGACAACACTCGATCCACAAACCTCTGGGCAGAAGCTACTTGGGCACGAAGCTCCGGGAGGCACCTCAGGAGATGTGGCCCTCCTCCGTCCTTCGACTTCCTGCACCTCAGTAGCGATGAGGGTCCCCTCCACCCCCCTCCCTTCCTTCCTTTATCTTGTCTTATTTCACAGATGCAAACCTTACCTCCTTGAGGACATATTTTTTTAAACTTCTTTTTTTTTAACTTTTTCAAAAATGTATTTATTTTTGAGAGAGAGAGAGACAGAGACAGACAGAGCATGAGCCGGGAAGGGGCAGAGAGAGAGGGAGACCCAGAATCGGGACCAGGCTCCAGGCTCCGAGCTGTCAGCACAGAGACCGACGCGGGGCTTGAACCCACGAACCGCGAGATCAAGACCTGAGCGGAAGTCGGACGCCCAACCGAGCCCCGCCAGGCACCCCTCTTTGAGGATATTTTTTTTTTCAACGTTTATTTATTTTTTGGGACAGAGAGAGACACAGCATGAACGGGGAGGGGCAGAGAGAGAGGGAGACACAGAATCGGAAACAGGCTCCAGGCTCCGAGCCATCAGCCCAGAGCCCGACGCGGGGCTCGAACTCACGCGAGATCACGCGAGACCTCGCGAGATCGTGACCTGGCTGAAGTCGGACGCTCAACCGACTGCGCCACCCAGGCGCCCCGAGGATATTTTTAATAGGTTTTAAAAAACGTTTTCTTCTCTCTGCAGAGTCTACTGCCTCCAAGTTGCTTTTCCCTCTTTGTTTCGATCCCATTCCCATTTCGTGTGAGAAGTTTCGCCCGATGGCCTGCCTCTCCATTTCCCTCCCGCGGGCCCCTCTGTGCCCGGGGGTGGTGGGGGCCCTCCTCTGGCACGTCTCTCCTCAAGGCTTGCTGCCTCTGCTGCTCCCCCTGCCTCGTGGAGCCTGTGTAACAGACCTCTTCTTTGCCGCCCACCAGCTCCCATGAAGATGGGGAACTCTGGGAGCAGCCCCCTCACCCCCGAACCTGGAACAGAGTCCTGTCCTTGCCAGAAATGCTCCCCTCCTGCTGGGGGAGGGGGTCTGTGGATCCGTCATCTCTAATCCTGCATTTAACACTGCCCCCCCACCACGCCGATCCCCCCCAGGTCCTGACACAGGCTCTCACCCTGCGGTCCTGAGCCTGGAATGGAGGTGGCCTTCCCTCCCCTGACCCATGACCAGTAGCAGACACGAGATTCAACCCCTGTCCTGTCTGCCTTCCAGGCTCTCCCCGCCGAACCCCCAGCCCCAGGGTCAGTAAGCACCCAGATTCCAGGACAGTCTTGCAC